TTCGGGTAGAAATGGCTTTCTACCCGGAAAAGCTCACCGGAAGCGCTGGCGCCGCCATCTTTTTTTGATGAAAAAGTGCTTCCGGTGAGCTTTCTACCCGGAAAAGCTCACCGGAAGCACTTTTTCATCAAAAAAAGATGGCGGCGCCCAGCTGATGCCGGTACCGGGCCACGGCGCCCAGCTGATGCCGGTACCGGGCCGCGGCATAAAAAAGGTTGGGGATCACTGTTCTATAGGACATTATGACAAATGACAGATATTCACATGGGGATCATCTTATATAGTTATCAGGAACAAAAACACACATATTTTTTCTCTTTTGAGATTATAAAGGAGGGGTTCCAGAAAGATTATTCCAATCATGATACCAGTGACTGTATTTTGCTTTCTTGCTGTGCATAAATATTGTAGGGTGATTGCGTTTTTATGGTGACAAAACCTGAAAGACTTGCAGGATATTGGAGAGTTGGAGTCTGTTCTTTTAAAATGTCCTATATCTGCCAAAAAAATACTGGTAAGTTTTTAGAAGTCTTGGAAATTAATTCAGTTTCAGAGAATAAGGACATGTAGTTTACATCAGGAATTCCCAACCTATGGGCCCCAGGCCACTTGTTGGCTGCGAGGGGTTTGCAACTGCGCCCTGGAAATGGCTGGTGAGCGTGTGCACATGTGTTCGCATCCTCACTTATGTGAGCAGCAGGTAAGCATGGATGCATGGGTTCATTTGCATGCTGCATGCATGCTGCTCGCACAAATGGAGCTGCGTACATGTGTGCTTGGTGGCACTTGCACAAACTACTCCCTTCCCCACTCTAGTCCACAAAGCCGGAAACGTTGGAGAACTCTGATGTAGATTATCTTCTACAGATCAGTATCAGAATTTGAAAAAAGTGAATTTGTGAACTATGATTTTGATCATTAGATAGGATAGATTCTAGGAAGAAGATCAACATGAGGCAACTTAGGATAGTCAGAGACGTTAAGCATATAACTACATTGATATATCTAGCTATACTGCTATGAAGAACATTGGAATCTTTCTTTCTTTCTTTCCTAGTATTCTTCAACCTGTTTCTTTTCTTGAATTTTTATTTTTGCTTGATTTCTTTCTTTTTCTTTTTTTTCTTTCCCATTTTATGTTTGTGTTAGACTTTATTATATTTTTAAAAAGTTTTAATAAAAATTATACATATAAAAAGAAAAACCTGGGTGAACAAACATGATTGAGCCAAATAAGATTGCAACAAGCCAGATACGGTAACCAAGATAATACATTGTGAAGGAATGTATAGAAATTGTAAATTTAAATCACATTACCATCAACTTCAGGAAGTATTTAAATAAAGTGAACTAACAAACATAATTATGATACCAACTATTTGTAGCCCAGAATAAAGGCTTTTAGTAGCATTGAATCAGGTATTTGCCCAAAAGGTATTCAAGTCCTGAGTTGGGATAGCTAAAGAGATACATTTATATTATACCTCAAGGTCTCCTTAAAGTGACTCATTTTACCTATTTGTTTAATGTACTCTTGATTTTTTTGTATCAAGTTTGGTCATGGTATGGATCTGAGAGGATATTTTAAGAAAAGATTAAATAAATAAAATAAAATGTTAAGGGTTTTCAGAATTAAAAAATAGCAGAACTATGTGTGATCTTGGCTGATTTTTTTTTAAAGGTCCTGAACCTTACTCTGAACCAACGGATCCAGCATCTCACTATATCAGTTATGGAAATAGCAGCTATTCTATGGTTAGTCCCAAGATGACCTGGGAAGAAGCAAGGAAGAAATGTGAATCTGAAAATTCAAAACTGGCCGCCATTCTAGACCCCTATGTTGAATCATTCATATGGCTGCAAGTGCTCAAATACAAGGAGCCTGTATGGATTGGACTAAGCAGCCAAGAGGTAAGAACAGAATCTATACATTCACAATGAAGCCCTATATTTAAATTTGTATACTTGGAAAAATGATCACATACATAAAGAATTCAAGAACGGGATTTCTAAGAGTAGACAGTGTTATGGGTAGAGGTGGTCCTTGTTTTAGCAGCCGTATTTGGGATGGGCAACTCTATTGTTAAACAAAGAGGCCACTAAGTGAAATTGCAACTCTGCTTATGAACATTTTACAGCTTTCCTTTGTTTTTACTGATCTGCAAATGTTGTAAATGCAAAGATGACAGATAAAGTTTCTTTTTCATCACTGCTGTAAGTGCCCACGGTCACTAAATGAGGCCTCTGACGTGACAAATATGTGACAATTTTCTAAATGGATCTTGAAGACTAAATGCTTTCACAGAATTGATTTATTTCTGTAAAAGATTTATATTGTTCCAATTTTAAGCAGCTCTGGTTGGCTTTTTCTCACAATTAAGGAAGAGGACATGGAGACCAGTTGGCAATGAAAAAGGGGTTCAAATAGTTTCCACTTAACAACGATTCACTCAGTGACCATTTGAAGTGATGATAGGGCTCAATGGTAGTTATGGCTGATTCTCAAATTGCAATGCTCCTGGGATCACACAATCAAAATTAATGGTCTTGGCAGCCTTCCCTCTTTTCAGATGACAGAATGTACTTCAACTTACCCTGCCTCTGTATCTTCCCTACCTTTTTTGCCCTGGACTCCATTACTGCCCATGCCTACCCTGAAATTTCTCACTGCCCCAAACTGACCCTCCCTGTTTTTTCATTCTCCTGCTGATAAGGCACATCTGGTTGAAGCAGCTGCTTGTCTTCTGCAAGGCTATTATGAAGGGGTGGCAGATTAGATGATGGGGCAGTGGTGGAGTAGAAGATAGCAAAAATTGCAGAGAGGGGAGAGAGAATGTATGGGGAGTTGAAGCAGAGGTGAGGCAGGATAGGAATAATGCAAGGTTGTTGCCTAATTATGGTGTACAGTTGTCTCCCAATAACCACAACCAGGACTGCCAGAACTGCTGTTGCTAAGTAATATTGTCAAACCACATTTCACTAAATGAGTGTTTTACTTAGCAATGTAAATTCCTGCCCCAGTTAGAGTTATTAAGTGAAGACTGGCTATAGTGAAATTAAATCAATAATTATTTTCCTTGCACTTCCTGTAATTATTCCCTTATGCATTTTGGTTTCAGAATGATGCTAGGTACAAGTGGGTAAGTAACTTGAGGCTAATGTACACTAACTGGGCTGCTGGAGAACCATTGCATAAGACAGCCTGTGTCTACCTAGACACTGATGGTTATTGGAAAACAGGAAACTGCAGTGAAAAATACTACTCTGTTTGCGAGAGATATTATGGTAAGCAAAATAATAAGTCTATTTTAATAGAGTTTGCATTTTAATTTTAATTCAGTTAGTGCCTAATTACTAAAAGTGGCATATACAGGTAATTCTTCACTTACAGCAGTTCATTTAGTAACCATTCAAAGTTACAACCGCGTTGAATAAAATGAAGTGTTTTTCACACTCATGATCATTACAGCATCCTCATAGTCATGTGATCAAAATTGGGATACTTTGCAACTCACTCATATTTATGATGCTGTAGTGTCCCAGGTCGTGTGTTCACCTTCTGACAAGCCATGTGATTGGGGACGTAACAACTAACTTAACAGTTGCAATGATTTACTTAACATCTGTGGCAAGAAAGATCATAAAATGGGCCACATTAAGTTAACAACTGTCTCACTTAGCAACATAAATATGAGGCTCAATTCTCGTAAATTGAGGACTACCTATATCAACAAAATCATAAGCTAAACTTTTAAAAACAGGAGGGCTCTAAAGTGTTTCACATAGAAAATAATGAATTTATGTTATGTCTTACTGTATTATTTTATTATAGTTATTATTTATACTGCTTATTATTAATACTTTCCTTAGTGGCTAGTTGCTTACATATGCATTTTCTTTAATAAAGAAAACCTTTTTGTTTCATAACAGGTGTAATGCCAACTGAGATTCCACAATTGCCAGGAAAATGCCAAACCTCCAAAAACAGCCAAATATCTTGGATTCCTTTTAGAGGTCATTGCTATAAAATTTTCCTTTTAATGGAAACTTGGCCAGCAGCATCTATGGTGTGTTCTCATATAGGTTAGTATACTTTTGAAGTACTTAATGATAACAGTAATTTTCTATGCTTAGGGAAATCTTGCCAGGTTCTACATTTACAGTGATTTTGAATAAATACATCTGTGCCAAATTCAGCCAGCAAACCCAACTTTTATTGTATTATATTCTGCACTATAAAGCTATTGAAAGAACAGCTGTTGAGAATGTAGGAAAATGCTATATAGAATGTGCATACTGTGTTTCCCTGAAAATAAGTTCTACCCCAAAAATAAGCTCTAGTGAAAGGGGCTGGGCATGGCCAACACAGGAGGTGGTGAGCATGTGTGGGCTGATGGTGTCCGGCAGCAATCTTAGCCCACATAGTGCAGGTGAGTTGATTACCTGCCCAAGCAGTAGGTGAAGGAAGAGGCATGAAATCCAGATGCATAGTGTGGGCTGCAAGAAAGCCAAAAGTAGGTGGGCTGGCATGGTAGGTGGCTGTGGGAGGCTCATCTTTGTGTGGTGGCACCAGCAGCAGATGGAGGCAGAGGCATGGGGAGAAGGCAGGCAACCCGGACATGTTGTATGGGCTGCAGGAAAGCTGAGAGTCAGTGGGTCGACATGGGCAGCTGGCTGGGGCAGGCTCATCTTTGTGTCTCTTGGTTTGTGGCCCACATGATGGGTCAGGATCACCTTCTATTCTGCACCTCTGTCTCTGTCTGCTGCCGCTGCTGCTGCATGAAGACAAGCCTCCAGTAGCCTCTCGCCTACTCCAGCCCAACAACTGTCAGCTTTCTCATGGCCCACATGGTGCATCTGGATCACCTGCCTTTCCCCCTGCATCTGCCTCCATCTACTGCTTGGACAGGGAATCAACTCAGAGTGTGCTGTCCAAGGCACTGGTGAGCTGTAGCTGCTGATGGATGCTGTCGGTCCCCATGCACTTGCTGCCTCTTGTGCACATACCAGGAGGTAAGGTGCTAAGGGGGGCTGAGCACCCTGAAATCGTATTTTCCCCAAAATAAGACTAGTGCTTATTTTAGAGCCGCCCCCAAAATATAAGATTGGGTCTTATTTGTAGGGAAACATGGGTAATATAAAGATAAATAAATACTTTTGTATTTTTCATGTCCTCTGAAAATAATCACTAAAAGAAAAGTTTCAACTGAGTAAAACCATTTGGTGGGATGAAAAACAACATAGTTCACCATGCAATAACTTTCTTTTGATTTAATGATACACAGCTAGAAAATTACTTATTATATATGAACATATAGCCACCTAGCACCTGGGTCAATTAAGGCTTGGTATGGTTGCTTAAGGCCCTTCTGAAGTCTTTTCAAAAAGTCTGGACATACCTGGAAGACATTTGCACATGACAGCTCAGAAAGCAAAGTGGCAGTGGCTTTATCTTACTAGCTATCCTGGTAGAATTATCTTCTGGACATGGTTCAAAAGTACTCAGCTGAACTCAAAAGAACCTTAATGTAACTATTTTGTTGGTTTTGGGGTAGGGATAGAATCTGTTAATGAATTTTGATCTCTCTCATGTTTTGTAGGTGGTACCTTGACTTCAATCGAAGACTCAATTGAATTACAATTTTTACAGAAAGAAATGGAAAGTGTTGATATTAATGAGTTTTGGATAGGCTTATACAAAAATATAGATGGTAATTATTTAAATAAAATTTATCTATATAAATAATAATAATCCTCAGTTAAATTCTGCCTTGATGTGGTTGTGGGGCTTGTATTCTGGGGAATGTGAGAGTTATGCCAGAAGTTCAACAATATTAGATTAGGTCTCGTCAGACAAAGAGTGTTTCTCCTATAAACAATATGATGAAATGTAACTTACAGAAACTGATGTGCTAGTGAATATATAAATAAAGTGAAGAAAATCTTAAAGTCCAAACTTAAATACATCAAGTCTACTAATACCTGGATAATTACAATCATATACCCAGCTGGAATAATGAACTGGACTCAAGCTGAACTAGAAGCCCTATCAACACAGTAATGTTGACAGACTCTGCTTAGCAAGGAAAATAATTTATCAAGGATTGTTTTGAGGGAGATGGGCTATTTAGAAATATAAGATATAAATAAATACATAAATAGATGAGTTTTGAATTTTTCAAGTCCATCAGACTGTTGAAGAAAAAAAATGGCATTGGAAGAATATTTGAAGGATAATGAAGCTAATATACCATGAAGGCTTACCAAATACTGGAGAGACCAAACTGGCTTACAAGAAAGATCAAATGAAAAATAAGACACCTGTCAAAGCAAAATGTTAATTGGCCAATACATAAAAAAAAAAACAGCAGGGAAAACAGATAACAATAATGGCCAACAGCAGAAAAATTGAAGAAAGAGATAGAGAAAGAAATTGCACAAGGACAAATTCATTCTAAGCTAGAATTGAGAATGCATCAACAGATAGCAAATGTTGCATCTGTGAAGAAGCTGAAGAAATTGTGGACCAAACAGTTAAGCTATCCCACATATTTTCTACAAATAATAGCATGACAAAATAACAATAAAGGTGATTGAAAGATCTGCAAGAAATATTATTTGCTTACAAGAAAGAATTGGTGGGACCACAAAATAAATAAAGTAATAAACAATTAAGAAGCTAAAATGTTCTTGGCTTTAGAATAAGTGAAAGTTGAACAGAAGAGAGGAGGGGAGGCAAGGCGAGGGGAGGGAAAGGGAGGAGGACAGGAGGAGAAGACAGGAGAAAATCATAAACCTCAAAGATTTGCAAATTGAATTGGAACAACAATGCAAATGATGGTTGTTAGTATTTTTGTTTGTTCTGGGGTCATGGTTGTTCTGGTAATTTTAAGATTATCTATGCTGTGCTAATTTTGTTGTAATTTTGAGGTTATCTATGGGATGCAGTGGCTCAGTGGATAAGACACTGAGCTTGTCGATCAGAAAGGTCAGCACTTTGGCGATTCAAATCCCTAGCACCATGTAACGGAATGAATTCCCGTTACTTGTCCCAGCTTCTGCCAACCTAGCAGTTTGAAAGCATGTAAAAATGCAAGTAGAAAAATAGGAACTACTTTGGTGGGAATGTAACAGCGTTCTGTATGCTTTCGGTATTTAGTCATGCTGGGCACATGACCACGGAGATGTCTTCAGACAATGCTGGGTCTCTGGTTTTAACAGACATGAGCACCGCCCCCTAGAGCCAGAAACGACTAGCACATATGCATGAAGGAAACCTTTACCTTTACCTTATGCTATGCTAGTATTTGTTCAGTCTGAGTTGAGCAACCCATGATCATTTATTTGAGCTATTTTTCATCCAGCTGGGCAATTTATTGAGGAGTTTGTATTTGACACTGATGAACAGGTCATGCTGTCATGAATTCATGAAGCAGGAATAGTTGTTCCTTGGTGAAGATTTATTTATTTATTTATTTGATTTGCCAATTGTTTACAAGATAATAAGTATAAGTGTATACATAGTTGTGAATACATGAAATGGGTACATATAAGAAAAATAAAAGAAGAAGAAGAGAAACAATAGGACAGGGACGGTAGGCACGTTGGTGCGCTTATGCACGCCCCCTACAGACCTCTTAGGAAAGGGTTGAGGTCAATAGTAGACAGTCTAAGGTTAAAGTTTTTGGGGTTTGGGGAAGAAACTACAGAGTCGGGTAGAGTATTCCAGACATTGACCACTCTATTGCTGAAGTCGGGTGGTCAATGTCTGGAATACTCTACCCAACTCTGTAGTTTCTTCCCCAAACCCCAAAAACTTTAACCTTAGACTGTCTACTATTGACCTCACCCCTTACATGCAAATCTCTCCCATTTGTGTACTTTCTAAAACATTTAATTCCTATACAATACGTGGTTCTGAGAGAAGACAATGTCTGTAGCTCCAAACCTGAGGAGTCCATGGTGCTCTCTGAACTTCATTGTTTGCTTGCAGATGTTAGATATCATTATTAGAGTGAGTGTTAATATACTTCCATAGCATTTGCCTTTTCATCACAGGCAGTTATTTTCCTTTTTAAATGCTATAAATTTGTTTTATCTATAGGAGAATGGATATGGCAAGATAAAAGTGAAGTTGCTTTTGTCAACTGGAATGAACAGCAGTTAAGAATTTCTCTGCAGCTTGATTTTAAAGAGGGCATCGAGATCTTTTTTGACAAGTGTGCTTACATGAATACTAATTCTGGACAATGGTTCATGGGGCACTGCGGAGATTTTCGATCAAGAGCATTTATTTGTAAAAGAAACAAAAGTAAGCCTTATTATCATTATCATAATGTTAGATTGAAAATAGTATTTGAATATTGAATATACATTAAATTATACAGTTTCCTAAAATACTCTAATTCCTCTGATTTCTGCCTAGATGCATGCTCCTTGGAATTATTCTTACCATGTTATTATCTGGTCATTTTAAAAATATATCCAAGAATATTTGAAGTTTTCCTCTATTTCTAATTTCTTGTTGAGCAGATTTTTCTACTTATATATGTTAAGAATCCACAGTGTGACTTATGTTTAATGTACTTTGTTGTTCATATGACAGTCTTTCTAAATAATTAATTATAATTTATCTTTTTTCATCTCTTTCTTTCTCTCTTTCCTTCCTTCCTTCATCCCTCTCTCCCTGTCTTGTCTTGTTTTATCTTGCCATCTTTCTCCTTAAATTTTTTTCTGTTTCAAGTAATACATTATCTGAAATAAAAAAAAATAGGAGCAAAAGTAGAACCAATTGCAAAATATATTAATTTTTGCTACCAATAATTGAATGACATATTAATATTGATAATTAATTATATTGTTAGCATTTGATAAATGTTCAATAAACAAAGTTTACTTTTCATCATTTGCTTCCCTTAATTATTATTTCAACTTTTTTATGGCATCAATGAACTAATCTTTTATTGCCAAGACATGGAACTGAATAAACTGAATATCAAAAGACAAGAATAATGCTGTACAATTTTTATTTCATAAAGAAGGAACTTTGGATTGCTTTATTCTCAAATGTTGCATTTCTACCTGGCTATTCTACCCATAGACTAAAATAATACTAGTTTTTGTGTTTTAAATTATTCCTGATACTTTAAATACAAGCAAGAAAATTTAATTAAGGAAATGAGTTGAATTCAGAGTCATACCAAACAATATCAATTTTTAATGGAAACAAATATCTGTGAACAATTTTTTCAGACATGGTCCTGAAATGTATAATTCTTTCTTTTGAACTCATAAAGGTTTACTATAAAAATCTGTTATTTCAGAAAAATTGATTTTTTAAAATTACTTTGCATATCCTTCTTCATTGCTATCTTAGTAGTATACAGTAAATCATGAACAGTAATTACACACTGAAAACATTTTGATTATTTTCTAGTTACTGAAGAATCAACTATAAAGCCTACAAAAATATCAGGTAAGAAAGTAATTTTAAATATTATTTTTAAAGTTAGTAATACGTTTTCCATATCTGTGAGATGAATATAGGTCAAATATAGAGCAACCTATGTTTGTAGATTAAAAGATTTAGATGACAATAGAGTATATTCAGAGTTGTTATGAAAACTTACTATATGTCCAGTAAGTTGTTAAGTTACAGTAGTTAAGTTTTGTTTTACATATTTTTTCCTATTTTAATGAAATGGAAGCCATTAAAATCCTTGTGGTGGCTGCCATTTGCCATTTTATTAACTTTTTTTTTCTTAGAATGTACTGGAAATATTGTAGGCAATCTTGAGATTTTAGCAGCTGCTATCCAAATATCACAGTTGTCAATCATAAACCAGCATATTTTATAGATACAGAATCAAATCACTATACTTTTATACATTTGGGAAAAATAGATAAAAAGAGAGGTCTGTAACATGTTTTGTTGCAGAACAGAAAGGAAAAAAGATTTTTTTAAAAAAAATAAGCCAGCCAAAAGTAATATAAAATCTAATTGAATCTCTAAGAATTTTTGTTCCCCACAATGTCAGTCCAAAATTGTATTCCTAATTTACCCTGCCATAGGTGAGATCACATGGGCTATCTTTTTATATTTATGAAACCAAGACTTGAAAATCCTCCTTCTTCAGTTAGTGTGATTGTATAATTGTGATTACTTTCAGTTCCCAAATCAATAATTAGCACTAAGTGATAGCCATAGCAATTTATACTTATATTTGCTGTGGAAGAATTCACACCTCTGTCAATTCAGCCCTTATCTTCCATAGGCAACACGTATCAATTTCCTTTGAGATCTGTAATGAACAGGAAAATACGGTGCATTACAGTTACTTCCTTTTACTGAGTTACAGTTCACAAATTCCCGGTATTGGTAGTTGACTCTTATTAGCTCTGCCTTTATTAGACTGCTAGACAGGATGTAATCTCTTTTGGCTTCTTTCTTAATTAAAAAAAAGTTAAATCAGAGTTTTATGATAATATAACTATATTCAGTGCATTTCTTCTCTCTGGTATTTTAGTGCAGAAAGGAGAGGAACTTCTATCAACACATGGCACAGCAGTGGTGGTAGTTATCCCAATTATCTTCATAGTCATTGGTGCAGGAATCACAGCCTATATTTTCTATAGAAGAAGAAACAGACCACAAGTCTCTGCTGGATTTGACAATTCTCTGTATAGTGACAATGTGGTTATTCTTCATAAGGATTCACAATCTCTTGTAGACAATCAAGAATTAAATTAACCAATAACTGTATCTTATCCAGGGATAAAATATATTGGATGCAATACATTCAAAAATTGAATTATACTGTTAATAATTTAATATTTTAAAGTATTTGAAAAAAATTAGACCTTATTAACAATATATATTGGTCAAACCCATGATATGAAAAGACTGAATTTATTAGTTACTAAGTAAAAACATATTTTGTATGGTATACTTTCAAATGAAAGATTTCAATTAAAGAAGAATTAGAAGTGGTTCTTTTGCACACTGCATAGAAAGCATGCAAAAATTGTTTCTGTATTCATCTACCATAGTTCATTAAATCAATTGATTCCTTTACTTCCTCCCTTCAAAGCAACTTTATACGGGGTTTCAAAAATTAAACATGTCACCTAAACCAATGTTTGAGATATTAAATCACAAGTTTCTACTATTTAATTAGTGTTTCTCCTGTATGGAACCAAAGCCTCTACATCTTTCATGCATGTTTAAATGATCTTTTCCTTTTCCTTATGTGAGTCTCAACAAATTTCCAAGAATAGCTTGCATCAATGCCCAGATAAAGCCATCTGCTGTCTCATAGCCAGCAATGTCCCCATTTATCCCTGATTTCCCTTCATACACTTCTCAGTGTGCAGCAAGGTGTGATGTCCTTTTCTAGAGACTATTCAAGAGAAGCATCCCCTTCTTTTTGGTTCTAGACCCTGACTATTACCCTTGCTACACCAAATCTCAAACAATTCAGAGTAATATTCCTGTTGTCATTTGGACAAAGCATACGCCAGGGAATTCTGGGTTCATGTTTGCATCCTCTTCAATAAAGCTAAACTTTTAGTGAGTATAGGTTACTGATATTTAAGAAGGAGGAAAAGGACTTTACCTTTCAAAAAGGATTGCACCTGAAAATCCAGACAGAGAAATTGTGTGTCCAGTTGGTATGAATATACCATCATATAGTGGCACAGTGCACAAGAAGATGGAGGGACTTACTAGAGCAACCCGTGACCTTCTCCCCTGGCTTCTTCATTGATTGCTTGTGGGGAGGTCACAAATGGCAGTCATGGGAGGGTTGTATTCTGCAATTATTGTTAATTGTAAATTGATTCCTAAATGTCCAAATAGCAATCTAATGAGCGTAGAGTGCTACAATGATCAGAACTTAGAAGATCAATGAGTAAGTACAACACATTCAGCATTATTGAAACTTCAAACAGTTGTTAAACTGTTAAACTTGGCAGCACAAAGAATCAGCCAATGACTTAGTAGCCATAGCTGGCTATCAACAACTAAAAAGCCATATACAACTAGGCACCATATAAATATCATGCATTCTGCACACATTCTGCTAGGGAAAAGCTCCCTGAGGATGGGCTCCAGCACAAGTCTGAAAGCTTGGAAGTCAAAAACTTTGGTCCCAGTGGCTGACCCAGATTGGATCTTGAAATCTGAAAGATGACAAAGGCATTGCTATGCACTATTATTGCCAAGGAAACTTGGATGAAAGTGTTCTTTTGTCACCAAGAATAAAGCTAATCTTGAGGTAACTTACTTTTTATAGGATCCAATCTGAGTCAGTCATCAGGACTAGAGGTTTGCTCTTCCAAGTTTTCAGACTTGTACTGGAGCCCATCCTCAGGGAACTTTTCAATCTCCAGGATGTGTGAGATTGAAAAGTTCCATGAGGATGGGCTCCAACATGAGTCTGAAAGCTTGGAAGAACAAACCTCTGGTCCTGATAACCAACTCAGATTATATCCTGCAACATTATTCTGGGACACATATATTTGCCTTTGGTCACTACTGTTTATAGCCTATAATAAGCAACTCTAAGGTTTTTCCAGGTTTGGTGTTCTAGTTTCTTATAAAGTCTACCGATAAATGTTATATTCCACACAAATTATAATTCAAAGCAATAGAAAGATTTCAAAATAACATGAAAGTTGCTGCTTCCTAGTCATCCTTTAGGATGAAATGTGCATATTAGCTTTTTCATGTGTTGAAACAGCTTAATCATCAGTATCAAGTCTGATACCAGAGAAAAGGGAAATATAAATTACGTATATATTTCTAAGAAATAAGAAAATTGACTGAAACAAAAAGAAAAAAAAGAAAACTGGCTGAAAATTATTGCCCTCCTACTATCAGAAGATTAAAGTTTACCAGTTGTTGGAAATATAAAGACAAGTTAAGCTCTTTGGAATCCTCACTCTGACCATCCCAAGACTTCTTCTCTATGACAGCCTTCATGAAGACTGTTGTATAACACCTTGTTCCCAGTGTTCTCTTAAAGTTTAAGATTATGTAACACAGCTCTCTCTAACTTTAACATGTTCCCAATGTGTGAACATTAACTTCTAGAATTGCCTAGCAAGCATTATCATTACTGTGAAAAATTCAGCAAAGATTCAGCAATGCTGTTATCTAGGCAAAGATGTCAGGAAGGCCAACAACTGCTTGATCAAGGTTATGAAACATTGAACAATGAGTCTGCTAAAAAATATATGAAGTTGGACCCAAAAAAAATGATGTAAGAGGACATTGCTCTTTTATACAGAGGACAACGAACTATTTGTATGACTTCATTTTAATTTGCAATAAAGATTTATTAATATGATTGAATGCCTGAAAGACTTTGTCATTTGTCCATGAAGATATAAAAAAGCAGACTGTGATTTGCAATCAAGTCTTGTATAGGGGAGCCTGACAGATTGATTGTCCTTACTGACTGCCATTGCTATGAGAAGACACCCATCTTCTGCATATAATTAAGAATTAGCAGGATGGCTATGGACCTTCTAGTGATTCTGCTGTTAATTAAGAAACCAGCATTCTGCTCAGAGTCAAGTGTCTACTATATGGACTTATATCTGACTATTAAAGGACTAGCCCAATAGGTGGCAGAGAAACAAAGATAATCCATCTCCAAACACAGTTCATATTGACCCTATAGTTGCTACCAGAATCATCAAGAGTTGTTTTCTCATTGTCTTTGCAGAGAAATAGGATGTAAACAAATAGGATGTAAACCAAACAAATATATTGCCTTTGTTTTACAATGTTATATTTCCCTCAGATCAGGCAACTTCCCCATCAGCCTAATGAAAGAAGGTAGTGCAATGGGCATGCCTTGTTAATGAAGCTAATCTACATGAATGTTATGGCACACCATTTTGAGAATTCAGTCAAGAAAGTGACTCTCAGCTTTGCATCTATAGCAAGTTAAGCATTGGGTGTGGGAATATCTCACATAGTTTCAGCCACTAACTCAGGATTTGGGCTGTAAAGAGAAAGGATTAACTCAATATTCAGAGGTGGACTATTGGAAGAAATACCAGATGAATAAGTATGTCAAAGTACTCAGAATTCAGGTCGGAGAATTAATAAATAAATAATTTATTTATTTATTTTGGAAATTTATTTTGTTGCCTATTTGTACTTGGCAGCTTACAAGAATATAAAAAAAATAAAGGTTTATATATATATTTTGAATATTCAAAACAATATAAAAAATTAAAACTAATAAATGAGAGAATCATATAGTAAATTAATAAAATAATATAATAAAATAACCCCCCTCCCCCTGCTCTGCCGATACTATCACATAATCCACCCTTCTCTGCGTTCTCCAGGCCCACAGAACCAGGTCTTCAGCACCTTCTGAAAGAGTGGAGGCCATTTTAATCTCTGGGGAAATGATGTTCCAGAGAGAGAAAGCCACCATGGAGAAGGCCCTTCTTCTGGGTCCCATCAGGTGTACCCCCCTAGGAGATGGGACCAGTAACATTCCTTGCTTCCTTGCTCTAGTGGGTCAGGTAGATGTGACCAGCAAGAGATCCCTCAGATAACCCTGACCCAAGCCATGAAGGGCTTTAAAGGTGACAACCAGCATTTTGAATTGCACCCGGAAACAAACTGGCAATCAATGTAGCTCCCACAAGAGAGGTGATCAATGTGCACACTGTGGTCTGTGCAAAACCATGTAGGCTGCTGCATTTTGAACCAACTGGAAATTATTCAAGGTATTGCAGAAAAACATGGGTGGGAAGGAAGACCCCAGCACTTGCTCTGAGCCTCTTTCCACCTCTTCTCTCTGCATTTAAAAGAATTCAGAAGCTGGACTTATGCTTCTGGATTGCTCAGTAAAAGTTGTATTGTTGCACAGAAAGCCTACACAGGTAATCCTCAATTTATAAGCACAACTGAGCCCAAAATTACAGTTGCTAAGCAAGACAGTTGTTTAGTAAATTTTGTCCCATTTTATGATCTTTCTTGACACAGTTGTTAAGTGAATCACCAGCAGTTGTAAAAATCAATCATTTGGTCATTAAATGAATCTGTCTTCCTCCATTGTCAGAGGATGGCTCTGAAGATTACAAATGATGATCACATGATCCCAGGCAGTGCGACGTCATAAATACATGTCAGTTGCCAAGCATCTGATTTTGATCACATGACCATGGGGATGTTGCAACAGTTGTAAGTAATGAAACCTGCTCATGCATCACTTTTTTTAGTGCCATTATAAGTTCAAACAGTCATTAAACAAATGGTTGTAAATGAAAGACAACTTATAGCTACAGGTATATTTTAGATAACCTGGCCACCTTAGATTATGCAGATGAATTTGGGAAGGGGAAGCACAAATCTTGTCCCCTGCTGATCTTCTACTTGATGATAAGTCTTATTGTTTGAATGTCAATGCTTGTGAAGTTTCATTTACACAATGTCAAATATATGAATGAAAACTTATAGAAGAATGTTCTGTTCTTCCTCCTCTCTGGTAACTACTCTTACCAGTAATTTATTTTTGTAAAAAAAATATATAATTCCATATCTACTGTACTGTTGTGGTTTGCCGGCAGCAGGTGTGAATGACTGAGATCTTGGAGAGTGAGGACTCAGATGAGGGGCCTGCATGTAATGTAGGGATGGGGCCAGGACCATCAGGGAGTAGAATGCTGCCTTTGGAGATTGTGGAGACTGGCAGCAGTGATAAAGAGGAGGAGCCTGTGCCCAGTGCGGCAGCAGCATGGGTGACTTGGGAGTAAGGCTGCAAGGTAATGGCCCCTCCCTTAAAAGATAAAAGCCAGCTGAGAAACCAGAGTTCTTTGCAGGAAGCAAAGAAGTTTTTGCACTCAAGCCTGGTCATTCAGAGTACCTTGGTTGGTGTCTGGAGACTCTTTGTGTTTGAAATATTTATAAGTAATTTTATCTAGTATTTTTGGCAGCTTTGTACAACCTTGGCAAGGCTCGTTCTTATCAGAGACAATTAGTTTGAAACAGCCTTTTAACTGTGAAGGGACGTGTTGTAGAGCGGCGGTAGATACGAGGCAGACTCAGAGCTTAACAGAGAAAGGCTTTATTCAGAGAATAAAGGGTTGCCGCGGCTGCCGGGCTAACAGGCAGTCAGCTGGCAGCAACAGCTGATGCCGTTTGACAGCTCCTTTTATAGCCACTGTCAAACGGCATCAGCCAATGGGAGCGATCGGCGCTCCCGCCAGAAACGCGGACCAGATAGGGAACTGTCGTCAGTCAGTGAATACAACACTCCTTTCCCCTGGCCAGGAGCATGTGTAGTTCTTTAGATAGGCCGGCCGCCTGCGTTGGCGGTTGGATCGTCTTAGCCTGGGTGGATTTTCAGCCGGGAAAGAGTCCTTCTTCTGGGTCGCACTGGAGCCTGCAGGAGCCGGAGTTCCGTCAATGAGTGCCTCTGCCAGAGGGTCAGGTGGCAGTCCAGGTAGGCTCCTTCGCTCAGCTCGCCTCGGGAAAGTCTCTACGCACGGCGGGTAGACCGGTTCGCTTAGCGGGAAGGTCTCGACTCATCGCAGGTAGACCGGTTCGCTCTGCGGGTAGGTCTCGGCTCTCCGTGGGTAGACCGGTTCGCTCGGTGGGCAGGTCTCGGCTCTTGATGGGTAGACCAGTTCGCTCAGCGGGAAGGTCTCGGCGCTCGGTGGGTAGATCAGCTCACTGGGCGGGCAGCGTGGATCGCCGTCAGCCACTCTCCAATGCCTCCTCAGCTGGTCGATGTGCCGGCGCCAGGTACGACCGTCGTCCAGGAGCACCCTGTAAGACTTAGGTCCTGTTATAGCCACGACTTGCCCTGGCACCCATAAGGGATGGCCAGAGTAATTCCTTGCATAGACAAGGTCATGCTGGGCGAACTCCCTGGTCTGCTTGTCAGATGCCAAAGGGGTAACTGGGGTGTAATGGGGGTGCAGCCTATCCAGGGTGGTTCTAAGGCGTCTGCCCATTAGGAGCTCTGCAGGGGACTTATTGGTGGTGGTACAGGGGGTTGAGTGCTGGGTCAGTAGGTACCTGGAAAGTTTGGAGTGCCAGTCAATTGGCCCAAACCTCTCCAGGGCCTCCTTTACTGACCTGACTGCCCTTTCAGCCATCCCGTTGCTAGCAGGGTGAAAAGGGGCTGTGAGGGCATGCCTGATGCCCAGGTTGGCTGCAAAGATCTCAAATTCGCACGAAGTGAGCTGGGGGCCATTGTCGAATACAAGGGTGTCTGGGAGGCTATGGGTGACAAATAATCTAGTTAGGGCCTTTGTGATAGCCAGAGTGGTTGTGGAGGACAGCAGGGCCAAGTCTATCCACTTTGAGAACGAGTCCACAACGACTAGGAAAGTTCGCCCGTGCACAGGGCCTGCCAGATCAATGTGCAGCCGGGACCAAGGGGCCCCAGCATCTTCCCACCTGGTAGGAGTTGAGGATGGTAGAGCTGGCCTGGTAGCCTGGCATGGCTGGCACGTGCTTACCCAGCTGGAGATCTGGGCATCCATGCCTGGCCACCACACATAACTGCAGGCCAGGGCCTTCATCCTGACGATGCCAGGGTGGCCCTCGTGCAGGACCTTTAAGACTGGCCCTTGTAGTTTAGCAGGGATGACAACCCTTGTCCCCCACAGCAAACAACCCTGTAGGGATGACAGCTCCTGCTGGCGAGTCTTGAAAGGCAGGAATTCAGGGGTGTAATGAATTGCTGGCCACCCCCTCCCCACCCAGTCCAGGACTTGGGCAATTACCTTGTCCCTTGAGGAGTAAGCAGCGATGTCAAGGGCAGTAATGGGCAGGTTGAGATCGTTGACCTCGAAGATAGTGTGGATGGGTGCAGGATCTTCAACCGGAATAGGCAGAGGGCATGAACTGAGGGCATCTGCGTGGCATAGGTTCTTCCCCGGGCGATGAATCAGCGTGTAAGAATAAGCAGCCAGGAATAGGGTCCACCTGGTCATCCTTGGGGATAGAACCTGTGGGGTTTGTTTGTCCCCAGACAAGAGGCCTAACAGTGGCTTGTGATCTGTTATTAAAGAAATTCATGAAATTTTTTAACTTCAGCAACTGCAGCCAAAGCCTCTTTGTCGATTTGGCTGTAGTTTTGTTCTGCTGCAGAGAAGGTCATTGAAAAAAAGGCAATTCGTGCCTCAGAGCCATTGGGGAGCCTGTGGCTCAGAACAGC